ATATTTTCTGTACCATAACAAAGATTCTGTATAACAAAATGGTTCACTCCTCTCTTAGAACCAATTGAAAATGTGTCCTCAAAATCTGGTGGCGCCATTTTCGAAAAGCGCCCTCTTTGCGAACAGGGTTACCCTTCTTGTGTGGAAAAAAAATCCAAGTGAAACTAACAAGTTTTTGTATAAATTATAATTAAATTTCGGAATAAAGCCTTTTTTAAAGGTTACGCAGACAAAAATCCTCTTCAGGTGGAAGCATGCTCGAGGCGCTTTACAGCTATCATTACCCCAGCAGACCCTCTGAGAACACTCAGAAACATTATCGGTTTCCGCGGAAGCATACACTGCGATTTAGCGCTCTCAAACATTATCAGACTGACCAGATCGTTCACTGTCTACAGCCGGGTACCCATTTCCATCTGGGTGAAGAGAGGAAAATTTATGCAAAGTGCCTTTCCCAAGGACACAACCTCGGGCCCTTGACGGGATTCGAACCCACGCGCTTACGGTTGCGAGTCCGAGAGCTTAACCACAAGGCCACCGACGCAATATGCTCTAAACACTTCACCATACCGACTAAGAATTTTCAGTCAATATTCGACACTGTCCTTATCCAATAGATATATGATGCGTCTATTGCCCTGTCATTTAGATACTTTATAGCGTGACATTACTTGATAACTTTAGATTTAATTAAATTCATCGTATTATCATGTTAACCACAATTTATTTTCGTGAATTTGAATGGGATACAGTGAAGTAGATTGAGTTTACCCTGCCTTTCATACACATCTTCAAGTTAAGCCACTTTGTTTATAAACTCAATGTGTAGACATTTAAATCATGCTATGGTTTTGCTTAAACAAATTCCACATATTTGTTGTTTCTTAATAAAAATCAATGAATGTTTCCTAAGGCAAAGAAAGAATCGCAACATTTCCCCTATTTCGAAAAAAACTCCTTGCTTATTTTGTTTTTTCATGATTTACTGCGGCTTTTCTGTTGTTCTGATCATTGTTGGTTAGGGTTAGGGGTTAGGGTTAGGGTTAGGGTTAGGACAAGGTTGCTTACGAAGCAGAGGAGCGAATTAAGGATCACCGAGATTGCCGATTTGCATTTGCAACTGACCAATCTGAAACCCATTGTTGATAAGATTGTTTTCTCTTACCAGGACCATCCTTCCCATTAGGGCAGTGTCAATGACTTATTTGTATATGTGTTTTCTTCGCATGTTACTCTTATTTCATACCTCAATTATAATTCTTCTTCTTCTATCCCGTGGTTAGGGCAACCGTGCGGGCACCACTGCATCTGACAACCAGCTCTCGCCATTTCTCATTGTCCTCTGCTTTCCTCTTATTATTGTCACCCATCGCCTTCCCTGTCCACTCTGTAATATTGCCCTCTTATCTCCTACTCTGCCTTCCTCTCTTTCTCTTTCCTTGCACGGTTCCTTGTACGATTGCTTTGGCAAGTCCTGTGGATCTTGTGACATGCCCATTCCATTTCAATTTTTGTCTCTTCACTGTAGTCAGTAGATCTTCATGCGTTGGTAATTCCTTTTCTTACCTCAGCATTAATTTTGAAAGGTGGTCTTTGTATGATATATCAAGGAGTTTGCTGTAACATTTCATCTCTGTTTTCTGAATCCTTTTCTCCAATTCTTCTCTCAGTGTCCACGACTCGCAGACATATACGATGAGATGACCAGTGACGTCCAGTGAGCGCATTAGT